ATATATATTTATTATACACACAATATTAATTCATCTAATAATAATAATAATAATAATCAATTTAAACAATTATACAAATAATAATAATAATAATAACAATAATAATAATAATAATAATAATAATAATAATAATAATAATAAACAATTAAGACAAATAATAATAACAATAATAATAATAATAACAACAATAATAATAATAATAGCAATTAGGCATTTAATAATAACAATAATAACAATAATAATGAAATAAATAAATAAACAAATAATCCCAAATATTTCACAAATAAACGGGCATTACAGTCTACCCACCTTAAAAAGGAATTCCGTCATCAAAATTCAAAAATAAAAACATCCAACTCTAACATACAACATCAAACATGAAGTTCGGATATCTCCTCCTAGTCTCGGTTTCAGTTTTCCCGGTCGCCTCGGACTTGCGGTGCCGGTTCCATTGCACCTCGACGAGATTGACTGCCCGGGTCCTCAGCTGATGAACCTTCCGATCCAGTACGAAGACCGGTACCTACTCATAGTAAGGCCTCGCTCGACCTGCAACTCGACGAAGTCCACCACGTGCTCGGAGTCAGGCACGTATCGACGCTGCATCGAGACGTGGAATACGTCATGCACTCCAACAATTCAGGCAGTAAAGCTAACCGGTAGGTCAAGTCTCCGACTCCTGTGAGAATCTGAAAGGGTCCGATATAGCCAGTTGAAGCTTCCCCTTCTTCCAGTTCAAAGAACTTCTCTCGTTCTGGGAGTTTTCCTTCTCTCGTTCTGGGAGTTTTCATCTCCGTGGGGAGGATTTTCTTCAAAGGGCGAAGGCAAGGGCGGGTATTGGGAGGTTCAGTGAGTTTCTCTGGGTTTGTTGGTGAGTTTGATTGAGGCTCTTGGAGTATGGCGGACGAATTAGGGTTGCGATTGGGGAAAGTATCTATTGCAGAGGCGGAGAAGCTGATTATCAACATAGAAGAAAAAGATGCTAAGATCAGTGTTGAGGAATGTCGAAGAAGCTTGTTTTGGAAAATAGTGGGGGAGAAGAAAGCTAATTGGCTGGGAATCAAGAGAACGATGGGAATGCTATGGAGATTGGGAAATTCTTTTGAAGTACGGGAGCTCAACTGTAATTATTTCCAATTCTTGTTTCCGAACGTTGAGGCTTTACGTCGAGTGGATTTAGATCGAAGCTGGATTTTTGAAAGCCAATATCTCATTCTTAGAGAATGAACTACAAGTCTATTTGAGAACCATCCTACCTTTAATGAGTTGTCGATATGGGTTCAAGCACATGGGGTGCCGATTAACTGCAATGAACTGAAGTGGGGGATAAAGCTTGAGAGAGCTTTTAATGGTGTTAAGAATGTTATCCTAGCGAGAGCAGGAAATCAAGAAGGTAGGATTATCCGCCTGCAAGCTATCCTGAATATAAGAGAACCATTACCGAGGTGGACTACTATCAGACTAGGAGATCAGGTGGTCACAATTCAATTCAAATATGAAAAGATTGTTAGCCTATGCTACTACTGTGGTAGACTTGGCCATGTTGATAAAAACTGCCCCAAACGAAAAGATGACATAATGAAAAAGAGTGTTAATGAAGGCCAATATGGAGAATGGTTGAAGGCTGCAGAAGGGGTGGTTATATCAGAGTCTCCACCAGCTAGCAAGAACAGCGAGCCTTCCTCAAGCAGGAAGAATGTTCCATCCTCCTCTTTTGACCAAAGAGAAACAGTCCAACCCCATGAAAATTCTGAGACCAATGAGAATGAGAAACAAGGGGTTCATGCCCACTCAGAAGGCAATATAGAGAGGAGCATCTGTGTAGTAGAATCCTCTGCTTCTTATGCAGAGACAAAGACCCAAATAATAACCAGACCTCGGGTGAGATGCAACAATTACCAACTGGGAGTGATTGGAGCTTGGATTTAATCCCTGAGGACAAGGAGGAAGAGAAAAACATGGAGATATAGGTGTCTGCTAAGGAAAACATTGAGATGAAGAAGAAACAACTTACTCTATCTACAGGCAAGCTATGGAAAAGAAATTCTCTCTTTAAGGGCAGACTGACAAGACAAGAGCAACCTTCAAAAAGCGCAGCTCTTGTCATAGGAGGGAAAAGAATCAGAGACACTCAGTTACTTCAAATCATTGAAAGCTCTCAGAATCAAGAAGAAGCCACAGAACAGAAAAAACTCAAACTATCAGTCCAAGAGGTGGAGGATGCCAGCCCAAATTGGCACCAGGGTGACCAATGTTAGCTCTGGCGTGGAATTGTAGAGGTCTGGGTGGACCCTCTACAGTTCCCCAAATTCGAGAGGCTTTAATGACTCACCACCCTTCTTTTTTATTCTTATCAGAAACAAAAAAAAAAAAAAATATTTTACTTTGAAAGTTTGTAATAAGTTGGGATATGAAACTAGATTTTATTTTGCGGAACCAGAAGGGAGCAGATGGGGGTTATTGCTTTGCTGTGATATGCAGGTGGACTTTCTGCAAGTGAAAAATTCAAATTTCAATATCCAGATCTAGTACAAACTTCCTAGTGAGGAAGAACCATGCTGGTTGGTGTTTGTGTATCTTAGCACTGACCTGCAAAGCAGAATGACTCAATGGCAGAGCCTCATAGCTGACAAATCTGAATGGGGGGAGAACTGGTGTATAATTGGAGATTGGAATGATCTCCATTTGCAGGAAAACAAGGCAGGAGGAAGGCCAAGGTCTTTGAGGAGCTTGCAGCCTTTCCAAAACTTCATAGCAGAAATGGGCATGAATGAAATTTGTATGTTCGGATACAGATTCACCTGGTGCAACAATAGGGACAATGAAGGGATAGTGGAGGAAAAATTGGACGATGCCTTTGGCTCTTTGGGTTAGATGATGAAATACCCACTCTCTCATATCACAAATCAGTATGGAAGTGCCTCAGATCATGGGATGCTTCTACTACAAGCTGAGGGGAATAAAGTGAAGTGTAAAAAGAGATTCAGCTTTGATAAGAGATGGGTTAAAAGCAAAGGAGTTTGGGAAGTGGTCAGCAAAGCCTGGGCTCAACCTCAGCTTGGTACACCTTTTTTCAGATTGAAAGAACAAGTGAAAGTAACCAGATTGGCCTTATCTGAATGGAGTAGAGGGGTTGGGCAAGAAAGGAAAAGGAAAATTACTACTCTTACTCTGAAATTGGAAGAAATGAGGAACTTAGTGGATGGAAAAAACTGGGAAGAATGGGAGACTCTTAAAATAGAGCTGGATCAAGCACATTGTTCTGAAGAAGCTTATTGGCAGCAAAAATCCAGGAACATGTGGCTCAAGGAGGGTGACCAAAATACGAGATACTTCCATGCGGTTACAGCTCAGAGGAGAAAAAGAAATACCATCACCAAACTGATGGATGATAGAAACAGAAAGTTGGAATCCAAGGAAGATCTGGAACATCACATCTTTGAGTTCTATAAAAACTTATTCTCAACTGAAGGATCAAATGGAGGCCAAAGTATCTTGCAGCTTATCCCCACTACAATTACCACAGACATGAATGCTGCTCTTACTGCTGGAGTTGAGGAGAAAGAAATCAAAAATACATTGTTTCAACTAAACCATTCGAAGGCCCCTGGAGAAGAAGGTATTATAGCCCTCTTTTACCAACACTTTTGGCCAGTCATCAAGGCTGATATGTGTGCAGCCATTCTCAGTTTCTTTTCTTCTGGTAATTTCCTTAAATACTGGAATCACACCCTCCTGACCCTCATTCCAAAATGTGAGAATCCCATCTCCATTACTCAATACAGGCCTATTAGCCTCTGTGCAGTGGTTTACAAAATCATTTCCAAGATTTTGGCTAACAAGCTTAAACTGTGCTTAGAAAATTGCATAAGTACTGCTCAAGGTGCTTTCATTCCAGGGAGACAACTATTGGATAATGTGATCATAGCACAGGAATGTTATCACTACTTGAACAGACACAGATCAGCGAAGCACAGTTTTATGGCTTTAAAGCTGGACATGATGAAAGCTTATGATCGGGTTGAATGGGGATGCATTAAAGCTCTGATGATCAAGATGGGTTTTGCTGAGCAATTTGTCAAATGGATTATGTTCTGTGTTACAACTGTCTCCTTCTCTTTTATGTTAAATGGTGAAGCTGTGGGGTATGTGAAACCATCTAGAGGGATAAGGCAAGGTGACCCTTTATCACCTTACTTATTCTTAATTGTTTCTGAGGCACTCTCCATTCTGATCTCCACTGCTGCTGAGGGTGGACTGTTTAGAGGATTAAGACTTTCCAGTGGAGGTCCTTTAATAACCCATCTACTGTTTGCAGATGACCTCTTAGTGTTTTGTAAAGCAGATATGGGGCAAGCTCTGTTACTAATGGATATCCTGCAGGACTATGAAAACTTCTCTGGCCAAAGAGTGAATTTAGCTAAATCCACAGTGTTCTTCAGCAGAAATTCCCAGGAGGCAGACAAGATTAATATCTGTAATGTTCTCAATGGTCTTACAGCTCACAATTCTTCTCGATACTTGGGACTACCATTTGGGATTGGCAGATCAAAGAGAGATTCTTTTGACTTTGTGATTGAAGCTGTGAAACAGAGACTGATGTCCTGGAAGAATAAGTTTCTCTCTACTGCAGGAAAGAAGTTCTAATCAAAGCAGTAATCAACTCTCTTCCAGTGTTTGCAATGTCATGTCTTAAACTGACTACTGAAATTTGCCAGGAGATAGCCAGATTGAGAGCTCAATTTTGGTGGAGCAAGGGTGGAGATAAAGAGAGGACCATTCACTGGAAAAGCTGGAACCTTCTAACACTTCCAAAAAATCAAGAAGGATTGGGATTCCATGATATCAAACTCTTCAATGAGGCACTAATATTGAAACAGTTGTGGAGAATTACTGTTAACCCAGAGCTTCTTGTTTCTAGAGTTTTAAAAAGCAAATACTTCCCTAGCACTTTTATTTTTGAAGCACAGAAGAAAGATTCCTCTTCTTGGATGTGGAGAAACTGGCTACATGTCCTCCATATGTCCAGAAACAACTGTTGGAAAGAGATCAAGAATGAAAAGAGTACCAAAATTCAAGAGGGAGGTTGGA